ATCTTGGGGAAACTTTTATAACGGGCAAACAGACTGAAACCAGCCTTCAAATATCACTTCCAAATTGATGGAAAATGTATTGTGGTCAATTAATTTCTATATATAGCCCACGGGCTCGAAGACAGATTATTGGAATCACTTGGAACAGTTCCTTTGTCTTTGAACCAGTAAATTTAGTTAGCTTGTCAGCATGCTTAGTAATGCTCTGCAGAAAGAGCATGTGCTTTATTGTGCACTGCACTTTGCTCCATTTGGCACCAATTCTCTCAGCTCCTTAATATGATCACGGATCCATTGCCTGTCCCTTGGCCCAGGCCTAGCCCTCTTCTCGTTCTTACCAGGTTCAGAAGACCTTTCAAGCCGTTCACTAAATGGACTAGGACATGATGATGAAGTCAAAGAGTGGAATATGTCCTCCCTTACAAGAGAATACTCTATAGAATAGCCTTCTGAATTAATAGCAGGGGCAGTGTGCATCGAAGCTTCAGGACTTCTTTCGGATGTCATTGCAGACTCCACTGATGCAGAGTATGATAGTTCACTCTTGATGTCATTTTTACTATGACAAGCATTGGCTGCTACTATTGCTTCCAAAAGATGCTCTGGACAAGATTCACGAGTCAACTGGCTACAGCAATTCTCATCTGGCATCCTCATCATTGCAAGATCCTCATCAACCTGTCCCCCTGAATCAAAAATATCTACTTTTCACAAAAGCCGGTCCAACGGCTTCATGTAGCTCACAGCCAGCAGGGAATTTTAACAATGTATTTGAGGTACTCAGGTGCAGCCTGAAACTGTGAATTTTCTCTATCTTTTTGGGAGCTTGCATCTGAATATCTGGGAAAAGTCGACGCCTCTTTCTGGCTAATATTTAGATAACGCAACTTATTACCTTCACAAACAACATCATGAAAGTCTGAGGGCAAGCAGGCCAAATCAGCTCCAATTTTTTCAGATGGACTTACAGAATCACTGAAGTTATTGTCCATAACTGAATTGTGTAGCAATGATGTAACATTTTTTTTTTCCTGATTCCACCCTGATATCTTTGGACCCACTACTGCCCACTCCAAACTTCTCATTTAGAGGTCTCATATGTAAAAATTTATGATGCTCCCCATTCGTCATATTTGATACCAACTTGAGCAAAACTGAACTTTCACCCCTGCAAACCTCAGGCCCAACATGTTCGGTCACATTAACAGTTATTTTCTGATAAACAGCAGCCAGTGGAAAGTTATTCGCAGAACCTGGAACGGGCATTAAAATATCCAGTTTTTCAACCCTCGTTGTTTCCTCTGTATCAAGTAGTAAGCAAGCAGGTCCAATTTCTGAAGACAATTTCATTGTTGAAACAATAAATTTTAACAGTGTTGTGAGACTCACGATTACTTTTTTTTTTTAATTCGATTGTTTCTTTATCACCTTTTTACAATTTTTTTTGCTCTTTTCGATGGTTTTATTTTTTTATTCTATTAAAAAATAAGATATATTTAAAGTTCATTACTAATATTTTATAATTATTTTTATTATATATTTTTATTGTTTTTAAATTTTATTTTAATTTTTTTATAGGTGATAATTTAAAAATAAAATAAGTTGTTTATTTTTTTACAATGCAAAAGAAATAAAAATAATAATAAGTTGTATTTTTTGTTAAGGCATTTAAATTTAATGTTGGTCCTTCAACTTTTCACAAAGTCTTTTACATTTTTTTAATATATTTTTATCATTTTTAAAATGTCTTTTAATTATTTTACAGGTAAAAAGTTTAGAAATAAAATAAGTTGTATTTTTTACTAAGGCATTTAAATTTATTGTTGGTTCTTTAGCTTTTCACAAAGTTTTATTTTAATTTCTTAATTTTATAAAATATCTTTTCAATCCTTCAAGTCTAATATCATTTAGTTTTATCACAAAAATTACAAAGATTTTTTTTTAACCAAGCAAATATAAAGATATACTCAATTGTTATTATTCAACTATTCATATTTTATGCAATTTAAGATTGGTGAATTTTGCTAGAGAAATAAAAAAATAAAATAATTATAATGTATTATGGCCTAGTGAAAATTGACTATGTACTGAATAGGATTCAAATCCTCTCAAAAGCAACCTCTCTGCAGTAAAAAATCCTGCCTCTTCAATCCATATCTAATATCTCATATCTTGTCATACCATTTCATGTTAACATAATTTAATTGTAAAAAATAATTATTTTATAATTTATTTCACCACTTTAGATATATTTCTTATACTAATGATTTAAAGTGATTTTTTTTATTTTCAAAGCTTGTTTTAAAAAATTACTATGCAAATTTTTTAAACAAATATTTGTTAAATAAATTATGTCAGAGTTTGAATAAGTTAAATAGTAGATCCCTACAAAAAATCTAAATAATCCTAAAAACTTGTTAGGGCTTATTGTCTGGCTTATTCAAACCTTGACTTGATTTATTTAACAAATACCCGTTTGAAAAAAATCTGCAAAGCAATTTTTCAAAACAAGTTTTAAAAATAAAAAAATATTGTGACATAATTATTTTTTAAAACTAAATTAACATGAGATGATGTAACAAGATATAAGACATTATATATGAATTGAAGGGCCAGGATTTTCTGGCGTTGAGGAACGCTAAGAGGGTGGCTTCTGAGAGGATTCAAATTCATATTGAATACAATATAAAAGTCACATTCTATTAAGCCAACCTTTTTCATAAAGATGTACATACACCACATAATGTCCGGAGACAAAAAAGAAATAAGTGAACTTCTATTTAGTCTCAGTACGGGCCATTTTCTAGTCAATATATATATAGTAAAGCACATCAAAACACTGTAGATCTGCAATGTTATGAATAATGCTTTGCTATTTTTAATTTTTTCTTTAAGTGTGATTTGAAAAAATGGTTAATAGATATATCGTCAAAAAATTATAAATATAATATCTGTAATAAAAAAATATCTATAAATAACGCATACTCCCTCTTATATGTACAATATTTTGAAGATAACTTGAATGATTTTTAGATAACACTTACTCCCTTTGATCTTATTTATAGGGTGAAGAAAAACTTTTTTGTTTCTGCTTATGATTCACATTATTAAATGTTTATCTTATTGAATGTTAGAGAGAGAAAATATATTATTAAAATATGTATATTTAATAAGGGTAAAATTAAAAAATTAATTAAATTTTTAGACAAATTTAATGAATTTTAAAGTTTTACTTGATAGAAAGGGAATAAAATCAAAACTTGTGTTAAAGGACTAAAGAAATAATTTAGCTTATTTTTAAAATAAAATAGAAATATTTGAAAGTAAGATAAAATAGAGAAGAGGGCAAAATAAAAATTGTTCATTATTTTTTTTTTAAAAAAAGTGAGCATAAGTGAAACCCATGATAAAAAAATGTGAGTGTGAGACATGAGAATTTTTAAATAGATTGGATGCATTACGTCATTTGTGATTTATCTATTAGAATACTTTAAGTTATCTAAGTAAAATCTTACGTGTCATTATTTTAATTAATTTTATTCTTATAATAGAGTGTATAATTAATTTATTGTGTTTTTTCTTTCTATTATCATTAATATCATAATTAATTTATATTTAATATCATCTAAATATTATGTTTTTACTGGACAAATAAAAAATGATGTAAAACACTTAGTCTACTTAAAAAATTTTCATGGGACACACCATTAGAAAAAAATGGGATGAATGTAAAACTCGTAATTTAGTTAATAAAATTTATTTTTATATGTAGAATTTTTTTGCTATATATATTTTCATTTGTAAATTTTAAACATTTAGATAAGGTATAAAAATATGATTTTTATATTTTAAAAAATCACGTAAGAATCATAATAAAAATTGGGTGGAGACGTTAGATTCTTAATAAAAATAATATATAGGTGTTAAATATACAATAGAATTTAGAGATTACCTAGATAAAGTATAAAAAGTACATTGATAACTTGGTGATTTTTGTTTTGAAATTTAATTTACTCAAAATAAAAATTATAAATAATATATTTCATCACTTTTAAATTTTATTTGTATAAGATAATAAACTGAAGAATAAAATAAAAATTTAATTGTTTTACAAATAATTTAAAATTATTTTACTAAAATTATAAATTTTAAATGAAAATAAGTATAAATTATGTTGAGTAATCTATCTCTTATTATATTAAATTCTTATTCCGTTAATTAACCAAAAAAATTCATATTCTATTTATTTTTTTTTACATACATATTTAAAATATTATTTAGAAAATTTATATATTTAAATTTATTAAAATAATAAATACATATTTTTATAATTATTAAATTTAAAAAATAAATAAAAATTTAAAAGCATATATCCTTGAAATGTTTTGGGGTAACATAAATAATTTTTAGATAATATTTCTATTTAAAAATTTATTTTAATTTAATATATATGACTTAAATGTTAATTGGGTGGATGAAAATAAAAAATTAAAAATATAAGAAATGATTGTATTTGTATTTATTAATTTTAAGGGATGCTTGTTTAAATTTTAAAAGTAGAAAAGAAGTATCTACAATTAAGATAAAGTAAAGGGAGGACAACACATTTTACTTTAAATTATAAATACTTTAAAATTATTTTTAAAACTTTTAAATTTTGTATTTTTATCTTTTATATACTAAAAGATAAATCTAGTTTTATGTATAATATAATGTTATAAATGAACACACACCCCGCTCGTAAAGAAGAAGTATTGACCAGAAAAAAAAACAAAAAGAAAAGCTATATTAGTAAAAAATGATTTAAAAGCATCACAACCAGCCTCAACTATTTTTTAGTCTTTACTAAACTTATTTTTATCCAAATCGTGACCCTTACTATAAATGGTAGCCAAAAAATGCAGGACCTTGCTCTGGCATTGCTATACTTAACCACAAAACCAGCTATTTTCTTTCTCAAATTGTAATCTATCGATTAATAGGTCACAACAGAATGAATTTCAACTTTTGTGAGTCGCTTTAATATATGACTTCAGTTTCTATTCAAAAACTTGTGTTCCCAACGCCTCATTGACAAGCATTTCCAGGTAAATCTTTCATTGCCAGGTCAAATCTCAGGGATTTGATCCCTTTATGATCATTTTCCTTACCTTGTTGCTCATTCAACTTCTAATTAAGAACCGGTTTGGGGGCAGAATCTTCTAGAACAACAAAATTCGGAAGCTTGTTGTCCTGATCTTGAAAGCATATATGCAAACACCTTGCCTGCATGATGATTGAAATCTTGAAGCTTCTCTGGTTTAACAAACCAAAGATGGTCAATCATCGTTTTGTTCAAGGCAGCATAATGGGGTTTGCCTATTTTGTCTCTTCTTGATCAAAAGAAACAAGTTCAGATTCAAATGTAAATATTATAGTCAGTCTATCTGCAGGAAGGCTCAGTTCAACTGTTCAAGGTTACCCAAATTGTGTAGTCAATGGCTAGGAATTTTGCAGAAGCTGCGCCTTTACCTGCTAAAGAACAGCATTCTATTACGTTTGTGTATCAGATCAAACAACCTCAGATATGTCGAAGTGTGATGGCGACATGGAGCAAGGACCTCACTGACCATTCTCTCTGCATCAGCATTGAAAACCCAGCACAGCAAAACCCGTACAATTGCAAGATCGACTCAATATTCAAACAAAACTGGGGGAAAAAGGGCCTAAAAACCTTGGAAATTCAGGGGAATCGAGTGGACATATTCTGGGATTTCCGGCACGCGAAATTCTCCATAGACCCACAACTTCGTTCAGATTACTACGTTGCCTTGGTGCACAGAAAGGAGACGCTTTTGTTCCTAGGAGATTTAGAGAAAGAAGCTCATGAAAGAACCAGGTCAAGACCATGCCCAGAAGAAGCTGTATTGCTGTACAAGAAAGAGATCGTGTACGGGAAGAAGATGTTCTGCACGAAAGCGATGCTTCAGGAAGGCAAGAAGGAGCATGAAATTGTGATAGAGACGTCACTTTCAGGGCCTGAAGATCCAGAGATGTGGGTGAGCATAGATGGGGTCGTGGCCATGAGGATCATGAACCTGAATTGGAGGTTCAGAGGGAACGAGACGGTGATCGTGAACAACTTGTGTGTGTTACATCATTTGAAGCCTGAAAACTAGGTTGGCTCTAAAAAACAGGGACTTGATGTTAGGTTGTTCAAGTATTAGTGGATATAAAACAATGTGGGAAGTCCCATATCGAATAAAGTTGAGTTTAATAAGTCTTATATACTCTTTATTTGATAAAACTTGTTAGGATTGGGCTTAATAGCTAGTCTTATGTCGTATCACTTGTTAGGAATGGGGAGTGACCACCTAAGAATGGGGGGAGAGGAGAGATGGGAAAGAGCAACGGAAGAACGTCACATTTTAACTCAAAACCTCAAGGCTTAAGTGTATGGGTCATTTCTCTTTATTTTATATTAGTTATTAAACTCAACTTTATTTGATGTGGGACTTCCTATGTCATCTTATGTCCACTTGTACTTGAACAATCTAATAAGAAGTAATTTCAGGTATAGACAGCCATGGAAGCTCAGAACAAAACGCTTGCAATGCATATAGATTGGGTTGGCCTTGGTGTCATTAGGTGTTTCCCATGCCTTATTTGAGGCTGCTGAATTGTTGGTTGAATAAATGTGTTGAATACTGTTACATGTTTTCTCTGTGGCTCAGCGGATGCATCAATCTCCTCTTTTTCACTAAAAGTTTTGTTGGATGTGTTTGATGGTTTACTGGTCATCAACTGCTCCCATATTGTCATCAAGTCGGGGAACTGCACCAACTATATGTTCTTTGACATTTTAAAGTGTATGAGGTTATCATTTATTGGTAAAAAAAAGTTAAATTCACTGTTAACAACTGCTCTATTTGTAGTCATTAGAATCTTTTATTACTGAAGTATAAGTGACTTTTGCAAGAGGTGATGTGGTGTCCCTGTTATCCGGAGGTACAAGTTTCTAGTGCATTGTTGACATCAATACAGGGGCATTTGATTCTCAGATGTTGTCTTCCTTGCTTCCAATTCTGAATAATAAATTTGAAGATATCCTCTTAGAGTCTTAGTTGTTCCAATATCCCAGATAGAATACATGTGTAGCTATTGGATCCTATCCTAGGAACAGGTTTGTCGTTCTCATATTGCATGATTTTCGTTTCAGTTTTTAGGTCGTCATCCATCAGTTCAAATTTTCCTTGCTACATCAGATAGAGTATAGAAAAACTGTTTGTAGTCCCCTGCAACTTAGTTCTAGAACTTTTGATATTTGGTCTGTTCTTTTCCATTTGCATGAACTTTCAAATATTTTCTTCCTTAGGTAATCTTCTGTTCAAGCAATTGCTTTGCTTATCAGAAAGGGTGTACCAGAGTCCAACATGACATTTCTGAATCTCATATCAGTAAGCAACTGGCTCATGATTCATCTGCCTATTTCTCTCACTATATTTTGTTGTTTTTAAAAATATCTCGAGCCTCTCCAGCAAAAAGAAAATACCTCAGACCTCGGGTGGCCCTAATTGCAGTTTGCTTATTATCTTTCCAGGCACCTCAAAGTGTGCATGTGGTGTGCAAAAAAAAAACCAAAAAAGTCCAAGAATAAAAATTTATTGCAGTGACCAACAAGTGGTGGCAAAATCCACATTAATTTTGGATGATTTGATGCTCTAAATGTCTGTTTTAAATCAATTTTGACAATAATATTATTGAGATTTCTTTTACAGTTACTTCCCACCAAGATTTGTATATACAATAATGAATATATATATTTATATAAGTTTAATTTTGTTTTGGTTAGATATAAGATTGCTTCTTGAATAGCCAAGGAGCTTGACATTAAATCTTAAATGCTATTTGCATGCACATTTGTTGTGAGGTAGCTAACTGATTCCAAAACAAGACAAAAAATAATTAAAGAAAAAAAGAAAACAGATGAATACTGTGGCTGAGACAGAGTTATGAGAATTGAGAACAATCCACAGAAGTGTGTTCTGGGCAATGTCTCCGTATCTCGAGTTTAATATCTTGAGGAAAACAAACAGGGTGAGGATGATAGGATAAAATAGAGCATTCCAAAAAAAAAAAAAAACAAAACAAAAAGGAATTGAGCTCTGAGCCTGAGGTGAGTATAATATTAAGAAGGATGAGTGGCCACGTGGCGGGGAGAGAGATCAGTGGTTTGTTTATCCAAAGGAGATAACCATCGGGAGGTAAATACCAGGACACGTGTTGGTTTTGTATAGGGTGTATATATTCTTTGGAATATTCCTTCCAATTTTGCTCTATAAAGATTTGGGCTGGTTGCGCTCAGTTATTTGTACTGTCAACTTCAATATCTGTTTTTTCCCGCTCCCATACACTTGAAGCTTGAAGTTTCAACCATGTCTGCCTTTGTTGGGAAACATGCAGGTAAGCCTTCTCTTCTTGTTCTTCACCCACAAAATGGTACCAAGTCTTATAACGCATTGCCTTTTCTTTTTTCGTTTTCTTTTCTGGTTGGTTTGTGTTGTATTGTATCTTATTGCTGCTGCATTTTCCTTTGAAGAATAATTTTTCTCACTCTTTTCACCTCTCTCTCTCTCTCTCTCTCTCTCTTCAAGGAATCTATCCGCTCTCCCTTTATCTCTTTCTCGTGGATACTTAATTACTGTGTAATCAAATAAAAAATAAATTCAGAAACTTTTTTTTTTTTTACAGAATTTTGGAGAATTCTCCGTTAATTTTGAGTTCGCAAAAGTTTAAATAGGTCAATTAGTTTCTAAACTAAACATTATATTGTATTTATTATAATTATATGGCCAGTTCTTATTTATTTCCGATCCCGGCATGTTATACGGTGTTGGAAAGAAGTTGAAGTGCTTGATGTGACGATAATGCCGAAGATGAAACTGAATAAAAATAAAAAGATAAAATATAGATATTTAGAGTTTTTTTTTTTAATTTATCAGTTCAAAGAAATGTTTGTAGTTGTCAAAAAGGAAAAAGAATTGTTTGTAGGAGATTAAAAGTTCAAAGGAACTTTTTGATGCAGGCTACCCCATTTGAAGCTTTTAATGTTTATCGTTCATGAATTTTATTTGTAGGTTTAAATCTATTTAGTTACCTTAAAATTTCGCTAAAAAAGGAGTGCAACCAACAAATAGAAAAAAAAAAGATACACATTTTATATGATATTCATTCATTGTAATTATAAAAATATACGCACACAATAAAGACAAAAAAGAATAAAAATGATACCAATGGCAACGTAAAAATTGGGTAAACAGAAAACAAGATAAGAAATTACAAAAATAAATACTCTCTTCATTTAAAAATGTAAAATATTTTTTAAAGAGTTGGATGTTTAAAAATATAAAGTATTTTTAATTTTTAATGTGTAATTATTTTTTTTTAAAATATCTTTATTAATAATAATTTTATATTTATTTTAAGGTGTTTAATAAGAGTGAATATAAAAAAATAAAATTAATTTAAAAATAAATAATTATTTTATTAAAAAATAAAATTTAATATAAAATATTTTATATTTTTAAACTGACAAGTATTATTTAATATTCTTTTCTATAAATGGTTTGGATTTTCATTTAGATGCACTCATCAAGACCGCCAAGTACATCGCGACTCCCGGCAAGGGCATTCTCGCCGCCGACGAGAGCACCGGCACGATCGGCAAGCGTCTGGCCAGCATTAACGTGGAGAACATCGAGTCCAATCGCCAAGCCCTGCGCGAGCTCCTCTTCACTGCTCCCAACGCTCTCCAATTCCTCTCCGGCGTTATCCTCTTCGAAGAAACCCTCTATCAGAAAACTGCATCTGGCAAGCCCTTTATCGAAGTCCTCCAAGAAAACGGCGTCGTTCCAGGCATCAAGGTCGACAAAGGCATTGTCGAACTAGCCGGAACCAATGGCGAAACCACCACTCAGGGCTTCGATTCGCTCGGATCTCGGTGCGAGCAATACTACAAGGCCGGTGCGCGATTCGCGAAGTGGCGCGCGGTGTTGAAAATTGGACCGACCGAGCCGTCGGAGTTATCGATCCAGCAGAATGCTCAGGGATTGGCTCGTTACGCGATTATTTGCCAGGAGAATGGGCTGGTGCCGATTGTGGAGCCTGAGATTCTGACTGACGGGTCTCATGACATTGCCAAGTGTGCTGCTGTTACTGAAACTGTGCTTGCCGCTGTTTACAAGGCGCTCAATGATCACCATGTTCTTCTTGAAGGAACTCTTCTCAAGCCTAACATGGTCACCCCTGGCTCTGACAGCCCGAAGGTAACGCCCCAAATTTTTGCCCTTTTGTCGCGGGCATGGGTTTCTAATTAGGTTCAGTGTCATTCATGTTTATCTTTTCTTGGTTCTTACTTCTTGCAAAAAGAATATCTTCATGCCTCTGGTTTTATTGAATATATATATATATATATATATATATTTGCTTCTGCCTAGCAGATATCAAGTTTTTATCCACTTTTTAAATTATGAAAAGTAATTATTGACATTCTTTAAGGAGATTGTTGCCTTTGAAGCATCAAGTCATGGAAAACTCTCTTGCTTTGTGTTTAATAACCATCAGGGCATGACAATTAAGGGCCCATTTGATTTTTTCCCATTTTATATTTTAAAAGTAAAATTTTACTTTTAAAAAGTTAAAAATTATTTGGTTAAAATATTTTGTAAGAAAGCACATTCAAACAGTAGCTAAAAATAAATTTTTGAAACATAACTATTTAAAATTTTTAAAAAGTAAGATGTTATTTGACCATACTACCTCAAGTTTAATTTCTTATTCTTTTATTTAAAAAAAGTTAATTCATTAAAAATATAATTATTATTTCAATAATAATAATTAGTATCAATTTTTCAACATTATAAATTAAATAATTAATCATATTAATTTTTAGCATTAATGTATAATAAAAATTACAAATTTTTATGACATTTTTTAAGATTACAAATTTAAAAAATACAAATAACTATAGATTAAATTTGTAGCATTATAGATCAAAATTTATATTATTTAAAATCTTTATCACATTTTTTAAATATTTTAAATATATTATATTTGTATAATAAAAATTATAAATTATCATAAATTAATATCCTTTTTGGTAATTGTACATTCAAAAGCATATTTTACTATCGCAAATCAAATAACTTTCAGTATATCAAACTAATTTAAAAAAAAATATTTAAACACAAATTTTGTTACAACAACTGACTTTTATCAAATCAACTTTCACCAGATGAATTTTTGATGAACTGAAAATCAAACGCACATTAAGTTGTAGTTGGACACCATTATGCTGTGGTTGCCTAGGTGTTTCGTAGATCGCAGCATAAGAATGGTCCTTGGTCAAAGTTGACTGAAAAATTATTAGAAAAGCATATATTGCATGTATCATAATCATAAATAACATGATAATGGTGCTATTTTTGCGTAGATAAGGGACAATTTTGGGGTATCATATTGGATGCTTTGATTTAGAACTAGGTATTTCAAATCTTGTTGATACAAAAAAGAAATATATATCACTTGGTTATGAAACTAACCAACCTTTACAAGGGGACATCACGTCAATGTTTGAACATCAACTACTTGATCGTGGATCTGTGTAATAACTTACCTCGAGTAGAAAATTCAGTATTTTCATGTTTGATGATACTGATTTAGAAGTGGATGATTCAATTCTAACACCATTGATACCAAAGAAATGAAGAGTCTTGCATATGAAAATGAGCTTCACAATGGAAAATGAACCCTCAAAATTTGCCTTGTCCCACAGGTACCGCCTGAGGTGGTTGCTGAGTACACAGTCACCGCACTGCGCAGAACCGTGCCGGCTGCAGTACCGGGGATCGTATTCTTGTCTGGTGGGCAAAGTGAAGAAGAGGCTACACTGAACTTGAATGCAATGAACAAGCTGGAAGTGCTGAAGCCATGGACTTTGTCTTTCTCCTTCGGGCGAGCGTTGCAGCAGAGCACCCTCAAGACGTGGGGTGGGAAGAAGGAGCATATTGGCAAAGCTCAGGTGGCTTTTCTGGCAAGGTGCAAGGCCAACTCTGATGCGACTCTCGGCAAGTATTCCGGCGCCAGCGATGGTGGTTTGGCCTCTGAGAGTTTGTTTGTCAAGGATTACAAGTATTAGCCTCTAAGAAGGAGTTGAAAGATTGATTTAAGAAGGGGACGTTTTACGTTTAAATTAATTGTATGATGAAACTAAAGTCTTCTGATTTCTAATTAACATGCTCACTTTTGGGTACATATGATAATTATAAAAATTTCAGTTTGTATTGTTACATGTTATGATCCTTACTGTGATTAATGAGTTGGACAAATATTAGTTTGCAATGCAAGGTTGAAAAAAATATCTGGCGCATCTTTGATTAACACCATTAAAGTCGTTTATTCTTATCTTTCTAATTTCAAAACAAGAATATAATAAAATAAAAAAGAAAGAAAAGAAAGCTATTCCTGTTATCATTAGATGGAGATGGAGCCACTTATTGAAGAGCATGTATCATTTTTATCCGATACCACACCATTAAGAAGGGGGAAAAAAGAAAAAAAAAAAAGAAATGAATGGATAAAAGAAAGTCAATGACACGGACCACAAATATTGTTACAATGAGGCATCTGGCATCAATGGTTTTTGGGGCGAAACTTTCCTAACTCCGCGTCAACTCTCATAAGTCATTGCCTATAAACAAAATGATCCAAAACATACGTGAACGGGAAAAAAAATGTACGTATATTATTAAAATTAAGGTAAAAGGTTAAAAATACTTATAAGGTGGTCAACCAAGGGTGCCCAATATCTTAAAGTAAAAAAATGACAAAAATACTCATAATGTTACATAGATAGCTGATCAAACTATTAATTTTGACTTAATACTGTTAATTTTAATCATTAAATGCTGACCGTGCATGTCACGTGTCAGTCTTTACTGATGTAGACTAATAAAGGGTAAAAATATCCATAAAGTTGTTGGCTAGAAGTAAAAATACCCATAACATTACCAGAGTTGGTGCAAAAGTGACCGATCTATTAAATTCTTTAAATGTTAATTGTTTAGCTTATTTAACCATTTTTGTCACTGATACGGATTAAAAATATTTTTAGGTGAAATTCTTAGGAGGTTAATCGGTTATTGTATGAATATTATGTTAGAAAATGTCATTTTAACTGAATATCAAATTAAATAGCTTGTTTCTTTGCAGTAGTGGCAAAAACCATTCAAAATTTTTGAATCTATCATGAATGCAATTACCTAAGGTTGTGATAATATTCTTAAGCTAGACGTGCTCAATCTCGATCTTTCATTTTGTACAACCTATCTCACTATGTTGAATTTTAGGTTTTACAGACAAGAAAAATGAGTGGAGAGGGTGAAAGAAAGGGGACAAAATACGTGGTGATGGAAAGAAACTATATGACATTGATTTTGATGAATTGGTTATTATTGCACCAACTGAAGTAACATTATGGATACTCATATGATGATCGATTAATATTTGTAAAAATTCATCTGGGAATATTTTTTATCTACATTACTGGAAAAATAGTTAACTTTTTTAGGGTGTCAGCTAAACAGTCAATATTTAAGGAATTTAATAGATTGATCACTTTTGCACCACCTCTGATAACGTTATGGGTATTTTTTTCTTAGTTGACGACTTCGTGAGTATTTTTGCTTCTGACAGATGATTTTATAGGTATTTTGCCTCTTTAGTAGTTTATGTTAGCAAAAACTGACACGTGGTATGCACAGCTAGCATTTAACAGTCAAAGTTAATGGCATTAAGTTAAAGTTAACGGTTTGATCATTTTTACACCCATTCATGTAACGTTATGGGTAATTTTATCTTTATTCTCACTTTAAAATACTGAATGCACGTGGCTGACCACTTTGTGTGTATTTTTACCTCCTTATCCTTAAAATTATATGTATATGTATCAATCAATGTCATGTAAAATCTATAAAATAATGATGCTATATATAACTGATATGTTGCTTGGTTATGTACTCCCTTCGATCCTTATTATAAGACACTTTCAACTATTTCACACGTTTTAAAAAATTTTAATTTTTTCTTGATATTATAAAAAAATGATATATACTTTCATTTTTATCCTTAGCTATAAATAATAATACAATTACATTAAATATTTTTATACTAATTAAGAAGGGATAAAATTAAAAAAAGTTATTTAATTATTATAAGGTATTCTATATTTTGAATTAAAAAATACTTTTAAAAGATATTTTATAAATAAAACTGGAGGGAGTATATTGAAATATAATAAATGGATGGCAGAAATTTTGGATTAATTAGCTTTTAATATTTCATTGGTTTCTTTTTTGTTTTTTTGTCTTTACCTGGCATTGGTTTCTTTTTAAAATTATATACGAAAGCAAGCTTTCGTCACTTGGATTACTTTTGCTTCTAAATTCTAAATTTAATTTAGTTCATATTAGACATTACCTTTCATTTAATTAAATAATCATTACTTTAATCGGTAATCCATAATTATATTAAGTAATCATGCAAGTGGATGTTGTATAATGAATTGCGCAGCTGCCAAATCAAATTAAATCCAAGTTTTGGGTCAAGCCAAGATAACACATAGGATACTTTTGTCAGACATCAATTAATGTGAGCTCACGAGTGGATTTCGTTAATTATTTGGGTGATGAAATCATGTGACACTTTTTATGCACCCGAGTTGAAATTACAATTTAGTGAATTTACCCCAATTTTTTTTTTTTGGTGAAAACAGTTCAGCCAAAGCGCTTTTGTAAAATCTTAAAGAGCGTCAATGATTGGCCACGGAGAAGGAGAGCATCAACAAAATGAAAGAAAGAGCTGGTAAAAAAAAAAAAACAAAGAAAGAAAGAAAAATAAATTTTTTTTTGAAGCCACTATGCAGTAAGCACGGATTATCAAAAAAACTCTTGAAACTTTTTGCAGTGCTTCAAGAATGAAAGTCAACTCATCTAAAACGCGCATGTTTTTCTCAACTAATACTATTATTACTGAGCATAGTGAGATGAGCCAATTTTTGGATTTCCCACAATTGACTAACTTGGAAAAATATTTTGGTATCCCTTTTCTTCATAAAGTGCCAATAAGGAGACCTTCTAGGAAACTGTGGATAAAGTTAAAGGTAGACTAATGAACTGGAAGTCTAGTGTGTTTTCTTTTGCTGGCCGCATGACTTTAGCTATGTTGGTGATATCTGTTATCCCAAATCATGTTATGCAAACTGCATGACTACCTGCAAGCACTTGTGAAAAACTTGATAAATGCAATAGAGACTTTATTTAGGGTAGCTCAGTAGATCAAAAAAAAGATTCATTTAGTCGCTTGGGATGAACTTTATAAGAAAAAGATGAATGGTGGTCTAGGTTTGTGGCATGCCAAACATCAAAATCAAGCTTTGCTTATGAAGCTTGGATGGGGTCTCATGAAATGAAGAGATGAATTATGGGTAAAGGTCATTTGAAATAAGTACAATTGTGGAGAAGACATTTTGCCTCGTATTGATGTCAGACGGTCTGGGTCTAATATTTGGTTTGGTATTAAATCCACATGGAAAAATGTGTAAGATGGTTAGACTAGATGAACCATGGATCACATGTGCGTTGGAGGTGGAACAAGAACGGCATGTTCTTTGTTAAATTTGCTTATGATGTAGTTTCATCTACTATCTCTCAAGCAGATAAATTTTGGGAAAATCTTTAGAAATAAATCAAGGCTCTGCAGCGATGTAAACCTTCCTTTAGATGGTTGCCATGAATGTTCTATTAATGAATGGCTTATGAAAGAAGAGGGGACTCTGTAATGAAGACGCTTGTGCAATCTGCGCAAATGGCTGTGAATATATTCTTCACGTTTTATGTGACTGTGTGCAAACCCATTGTTTGAGGAATCACTTCTTTACCATATGCAACTTGCTGAATGGCTGAGATGGAATATTATGACTATGAAAATGAGAGAGTTCACAGATTGGAGCGCTCTCTTTACCATTATATGTGGGATTTATGGAAGCGACAAAATCTCTTTATTTTTGAGAATACGAGTATACCAATTTAAGCTATCGTGAATCGAGCTCTAACAACTGTCCTAAGTTTGAAAGAAGCATGTCACACCCCAAAATAGAGGGTGACCGGCACGGGTATGAGTCACTTACACATTCTCGTAAGCCTCAAAATAAACATTTATTTCATTTTACAAAAGAAAGGAACAAAATTTAATCAAATCCTATGAGAATTAAAATAACTTATTAGATTCAATATCATAAGAAAGTGTCGATATTTTTGTAGAAATTTCGGCAGAACCTCCCCTGTAACTAGGATCTCCCAAAAATTCTACAACAAAATTCTGATAGATAACAGTATAAATCAGGAGCGTAGCTCCTTCCAGCCAACAACCAATATACAGATCAAAAATAAAGTTTATCAACAACCTATGTGGAGCATCTACTCTTTCTCTCAAATCAAAAGGATATACAAATTATATATTTACATAAAGGCAATACTACCAATCAAAATATCAACCCACTGTAGCTAGTTGTCCTTTTAGAGGTCGCTGGTGGAATCGGCGTCAGCTAACCAATTTGAAGCCAAATAATTTTTTTCAGTGAATAGCATTCCCATGATAAAATTCTTAAAAATTTAAATTGACAGTCTCTAATAATGGTGTCAAATAATTAAAAGTAATTCCACCAAAATTATAAGCATATAAGTCATAATCATATTTGAAAAATAAGAATAAGTAGAGAACAATTTATGTTATCATGCTTAAAGAAACCATCTGCTCTCATATAACTCAAAGTGATACAAATTACTAGTCAACACCAGATAAATTTCAGAAACACATATTAATCAACATTTAAAATTTTGAGAACTCAACAGAACAGGTTACAAATGTGAACACTCAGTCCACGAGAGTAAATAACCAAACGTGGCTTATGCCACGAAAACAAACGTGGACACACCAGTCCACGAGGATAAGTAACCAAACGCAGCCGGAGCTACGAATCAAATGTGGACACACAGCCCACGAGGGTAAGTAACCAAATGCGACTCAGGCCACGAAATCAAACGCGGGTACAAAGCCCACGAATACCAAACGTGAGAATAAAACTCACAAAACAAACTAGCTAGTGTTTAACCAGAGCACGCTACGGGCTAACGGAATTGCCGTTAGCAGAAGTGTTCTGTATAGAGTTCCCTTAGAAATCCCGTTTCAACATGCGAGAGAAGTAATTATTTTGAATTTAAATTTTCATTCTCAAAATCAAACTCGCATGAATTGTGCCAAATCTCAACGTTTGTCAAAATCATAAATTTGTATTAATTGAGTATCCAATAAATTTTAAAGTTTAACAACCATATAAGAATACTTTCATCAAACTTGGAAATATCTTTGTAAGAATCAATAAATGCATATATCATAACTCGTTTGTCTTTCACTGATATCTCATAATTTTCACAATTAATATAGTTCATAAGAAAAATATTTTGGAAAGAGGCTATTAAAATAAAAATAAAAATATTAAATGAAATGCTATTCACTTACTCGTCGGAGCTTCAAAATTTTTAAAAATATCCTTTCTTTCAATTTTGGTTAGGTTCCCTTTCTTCTGAGCACCCTATTAAAATATAAATAAATAAATAAATAAATAAATTTGTCCTGGGTATTTTACCAAACAACATACATACATAATTGCTTAAGTTAATGTTAATATTTTCCTTCCTAAATTTTCAGTTTCATTGAGACCTTGCAATATCACTAATTCCATAATTTCTAATTGGAATCTCAATCTACAATATCATCTTGCTGCCTTGCATAACCACAATATTCATTTAAATAGAAATTCCTCCTCTCTTCTTCTCTTTTTTTTTTGATGCATGTACGCACAATCACAAAGGGAATAAATTCTGAAATCCCAATCCTCAACTCACATATATCATATATTATCTCCAAGTTAGATGAATTTCTAGCTCAAATTTCAGTCTTCTTCTTCCTACGTAACAGCATGAGTGATGATAGAACAATGTGAGGTTGCCATGATTACACATACCAAACAGTAACAGTAGCATGTACAAACTCTACTTCTGCATGTCACGTATATGCACAGCACACATGTTATTATCTCTTACTCTCACGACACAGTAGATTAATAATAGGAGAGTTCAAAATTTCTCACCTCTTCAACCCAGATGGCAACAGACAACAAAGGAGAGAGAAGAAGAAAATGAAGATTGCAGCAGAACAGGGAAGCAGAAAACTGGGCACTACTCGCAAGGAAACACAGGAAATGAATCAGCAACAATAATCCACATTCATAACAGCACTGCCGCAGCTCTGGCAACTTGGTTTCTCATCCCAGCTGTTACTCGAAGGTGACGCCACAGATAGAACCAAAGTAGAAAACGAAGAGGAAAAACAGAGACAAAGAACATGAAAGGCAGCCGGAGCAATCGGTGCAGCACAAGTCTCCAACTCTTTCCAACGATAATCACTAGTGATAATAAAGAGAAGGAAGATCTAAATACTCACACATGCACCTGGATAAAGAAGGGAGAAAGAGCTCGGTAATCTGAAATAAATAAAGAAAAACAGAGTGCAAAGATCACGTGTTGATTGACCAACGACAGATGGAGTAGAGGCAAGCATACCGACGATAATAACAGCTAAAACTGAAGAGAAGCAGCAACGATTCAAGGAGGAAGAAGGAGAAGGTTTAGCGTGCTCTTTTACAACACCCAGAACAGAGGAGGAAGCAAGTTGCAGCTTGAGCCCGTATACACACCAGACGGCGTCACAGCAGGGAAGAAGGAAGCCACATACTCACACACTCAATCAACTAGCAACGGCGGACGGAACCTCTGTAGTCACCAACGCCAGTGACTGCTGTACACGGAGGAAGTGAAATTTCTAGACCTAGGATTCCTCTTACTCTCTCCACCGACTCTCTCTCTCTCTGTTGCTCCAGAATCCTTGCTGAAGAACAAAAGAAGAGTTAAAAAAATCTAATTATATTAGGGGTAATTTGGTAATTTTATGAGGAAAATCAGCAAAGGAAGAAAAATGTTCCATAGGCTCACTACGGTTCGAACTTGGGACCAAATGAAAGTAATCCAGCCCAACTACCATTGCATCAGCTTCCTCTATTGGCATAATTGTATAAGGATTTAATATAAACACACATAAACAAATTATCATATATATATGTATATTAATTTATTTTTATAAGGGTTATCACAAATCACATCATAAGGTCAGAATCGGGAGAGAGATCATAACACATCCTGTGCTAAGATGGGAATACCCACCTAATGAGTGGATAAAAATCAACATGGATGGAGCATTTGGAATTCTTTTAGGTCAATTCATTTTTGGTTTTATTTATCGTTTGGTTAGGGGAGACAACCTCTCAGTGGAGATTATTGCGTGTGTATACGGGCTTAAGTTGGCTTGGGACTCAGGCTATAGAAAAGTGATTCTTGAAACAAACTCTATGGAGACATTGGATTTGATGACAGTGGGCTCTATTGTTGAGCATGAAGATCATGTCACCATTGAAATGGCACAAGATCTTTTGCGTCAGACTTGGGAGGTGAAGATGCAGCATGTGTCTCATGAACTTAATAAACCGGTAGACTTCCTTGCAAGGTGGGGTCTCTCCACTCATCCTGGGTTCCACTCTATCAACCAAGTTCCTCATAGGCTCATTCTGTTTTTGCAATCTGATTGTAGTGGGGTGGTAGTAGATGCTAGGCATTAGCATGCCTTAGTTTTCCTTTGTCTATATATAAAAAAAAATCATTTTTCCATAAATTTTAGCAAATTTTAAAATTAAAATATAAATACAATTAATGGCCAACCCAACTCAAATATAACTTAGACTCTGTATGACTTGATGATTTGTTAAAGAGAAAAAAGAAAAGAGAGCAATATACAGCTCAAAATACAAACGTTTTATCGTGGAAGATAGTGAATCAAGAAGAGAGATATATAATTTACGTTTAAAAATCTGTTAAAAATTGAACTGATGTTGTTGTGCTTGTTTTTTAATGATAATTAGATCCCAAAATATTAAATCAATGATAATTAGGTTCTTAATAAAGTTTTAAAAAAGTTATAAATATTAATTCAGATAATTACAAATAAAAATTCTAGATGCAATATCAAAATGTACATTTAAAACTTAAATGTTTTATATACAATTAAATTTTTTGAATTAATACTTGTAACTCACTTCTCAAAAAAATTTGTCAAAAACCTAAGCATCATTAATTCAAAATTTTAGAACCCTACTGTCATTTTCTCTTTCTTATTCACATTTCATATATATGAACTCAGCACCGAGTGAAATCAACTATTTTATTACTTTACTTTTTTTATTAATAAAAGTGACAAAGGAGATTAATCACTTCAAAGACCAAAGAATACTATTTTTCCTTTCATCATCAACTACTCCCCTAATGTAAGATGCATGGTGGATGATTAAAGATATAAAAATTACGAAGTAAACTTGGAGCTTGTTTATCTAAAATATCAGCACATATTCAGTATACTCTCTATGCAAAAAATAAAACAAAGATTCCAGTTCCTAGCTAGCAATAGTGATATACTTCCTCCGTTCAAAATTGTAAGGCATTTTTAATTAAATCTCATTCTCCAATGAAGTAGTTACCTATTTTTCAACTAACACTATATTTTTATATTTATCCCTATTAAACACTCTACAATAAATATGAAGTCATTATTAATAGGGACATTTTTGAAAAAAAGAGAATGATTACACCTCGAAAGACTAAAAATGATTTATATTTTTGAATATTCAACTTCTCAAAAAATGCTTTATATTTTTGAATGAAGGGAGTACTAGTTATTAGCAAATAAAAAGACAAGTGTTCATGCTTTTCTCTGATTGGGCCTTAATTTTTTTTCAATAGGCCTTACCTTCGTTCTAATTAATTACGCCAAATTTTTAACATAACATTGTCCGTTTGACACAAACGAGAAGGTGGGGTAAACAAAATCTTCTTTATATACGATAATTGGTACTCTGACTAATATTGCTACCGTGCTTTTTTTTTTTTTGGGCCACATATATTGCAACCGTAATTATCCTCGTTTCTTTGTGCATAACAATCGATATGGATGATGAAATAAGACCAAGTCTAAAATTGATTTCTTTGTTTTTATTTTCACTGATATCATGCATGCGTACAAGAGCAAGCTGCCCCAATTCAGATTACTTCTGACTTCTAAACCCGATCAAGTTCATATTAATACATTCATTTAAATATTCAAACCTATGAATATAAAGAAACTGAAACCATGCACATCCGAAAACGGTTAAAAAATAAGGACTTTGGAAGGTCGTTTTAAACTAATTTTTTCAAAAAAATTAGTTTCTTTTTTCACTGATGTCATGCATTTATACTTAAGCACCTACTCGGATTCAGATTACGTACGCCTGACTTCTTCTAAACCTTTTGACTTAAAAATATATAGACTGATTAGCTCAGATTAACACGAGTAACACGAATTTTTATTTTTTAAGTGAGTAGTTAAGAGTTTGAGCTCTAGTTCTAATATATGAAACAAACCTAGTTAGAAAAGATTTAATCTTTGTCCTCGTAGAAGAGATCGATATCTCTGTACAATTGGCTGCTCGAAGTTACACTCCTAGTCCCAAAACAAAAAATATATAATACTCTTCCTTGTCTTAAAGTGCGTTTGGATTTCAATTGACAAAAAAGGTAATTATAAAAAAATTGATTAATAAAATGTGATGATATTTAGATGATATTTTTTGAAATTGATTTTGATAATTAAAGATGTTTGGATAATTTTTCAAAATCTATAATAAAGATGGAGGAAAATAGAAAATGCTCAAATGTTGAGAATTAATTTTCAAATCGAGAGAACAAAAAGAACTTATACCAAATGGGTTTCAGAAAGCAAATGGAGTTTGAATAAAATTGGGGTGTTTGGATAAGATTTTCCAAAATCATGGTTTTGGATCTAAAATTGATTCTACATGTATATCCAAGCATGCTCTTAATATAAGATAAAATTAATCAGCTTCATGCTTAATAAACGTACGTTAATAATTATAATAAGCTGTTATTTTGAAATCAATTCAAGCTATAATAAATAAAGAAGGATAAAATTAAAAATATAAAATCACAGAAAAATAAAATAATTAATTCCTATAATTTTATTGAATTTTATTAGCTTTAGTCCTATAGTTTTCTTTGAGTATCTTCAATTCTTATAGATTTAAAAATTAAAATTATAGGAATTGAAAACACAGAAAAACTATAAGAATTAAAAACAAAACTCAATAAAATTATAAGGGTCGATAATTGTATTTTTCTCAAATTAATTACTCTAACTTTATCTTATTAAAAATATTTTTTTTAAATTGATCTTATATCAAGTACCCAAGGAATATATCAAGGTTAAAAAAAAAAAGGAATATACACATGCATACATACATGAGCATTTTTTTCATCGTGTGAAATGCAAGCGGTTGTATTCTGTACAGCATTGGTGCATACCTTTCATACTGAGAAGAAAAAGAAATAAAGAAAGACGAAAAAGAGACGAGAGAGGAAGAGGCAAGCGAACAGCTATACTGACTTCCTTGGTCCAGGCCACCTATAAATAAGACAGCATTATCACTGCAAGGGACATCGCAAATACTTCAGAAAATGGCAGAAACAGCGGTGAACTTCGTGACGGAGACGCTGCTCCGGTCACTGGAAAAAGAGGTCAAGTTGCAGTTGGAATTGAAATCAGAAGTCGCAAACATACGCCAGGATTTGCGGACCATCATGGCCTTTCTCAGAGAGGCAGACGTACAGGCAGAAAGATCAAACATGAGCTACATGGTGAAGGACTGGGTCAGCAACGTGAGGGAAATAGCTCATCAAATTGAAGACGTGGTCGACGATTACAGGTACGAGGTGGCTCGCCGCCGTACAGGCCCCCGTGACTTTCTTGGTCAGGCTCGCCGAGCTGGAGGGTTTGCGAGGAGGATAGTATCGGCGCACCAAATTTCGGGAGATATCGAGGATGTAAGGGAAAGACTGAGTCGGCAGGTTGAGATAAGAAAAGGCCTGGGGCTCACCGGAGGGGAAGTTGGCGCCAGCGGCGGAAGAGGGTCAAACAGTTTGTCGTGGCAAGAGCTGAAGCAGCTGAGGCCAGTAGGGGACGAGAATGAACTCGTGGGCTTTGAAGCTCACAAGGAAAACCTCAATAATAGCATCACACTGGGCAATCAGAACACCGTCATACCTATTGCCGGCGAGGCTGGACTTGGTAATAATAAAATAAAATTACATTTTAGTCCTTGGCAAACATAATTAAAATATTATAAAATCTGTTGACAATGAGCATATTAAATCCACGACTAATTGTGTTGTCATTTTGTTAGTTTAACCCCCTCAATAGATGTTGTAGTATTTAACAATATGGTGAAAGATTTGGGTGTACTTTTTTCTAATAAAATGAATTATTTTCTTATTTTCAATCCTCCAAATAATTAACTATACAGTCATTTAACCATTCATTTTTATAATTTTTTTAAATTGTATTTTAATTTTATGAGTTTAATTCTAAACATTGTAAAGTTCATTTGTTTAAAATTGTATTTTAATTTTATGAGTTTAATTTTAAGTTCATTTGTTTTTGGCCTCAAGACTATACTGTTTGCAGAAAATAAAGAAATAAAGAGAAAATACAAGTAAATAAATCAAACATAATACTTTAATTTGTGAGAGTTGCTCCGATCTAACCAGTAAATGGGTCCGTCCTTGGTCTAGCTAGTGTGATTCCCCCTTTCTTAATTAAATGAGAAACCAGCATCTTATTAAGCCACTGTAGTAGGATGTGATTTAGCTAGCTAATTTATCTAAATTGAACAATATAACTTTATTACTCTTTGAATTATGTGCAATGTAGAATTATCAAATATGTCTAGTCAAAATTAACTTCATAAAAAAGAATAATAAATGTTTAGTGTGTGATATATGTATAAATGAAACTATGCAAAAGAATGTATCAATTTTTAAAGTCTCAATTCATAAATATCTTGCTATTTTAATGGGACTGTCTTCTGATGAGATTTAGGCTGCCCGATTAAATATGTATATATTTAAAAATTTTAAATTATATTTTTTTTTAAAATCATCTTTTGAGAAGTATTAGTTAGGAGAGTATATTTTTAATTTATTCTGTATTTACCAAAATAAAAATTATAAAAAATTTTAGTAAATCATTTTGTCACTAATATGAATAATTCATATAATCATATTTAATATAGATAATTTAAATTTAATATTAAATTTTTTTATGATTTTTATAAATTGACTGTCTAGATTTATTTTAAATTGCCTAGGTTTAATATTAAAAACTTTTATAATTTTTTATTTTGGTAAATACAATATCAAAAATAAAGATAATCTCCTAACTAATACATCTAAAAATGTTTTTTACATTACAAATAAAAGGTTTTAAATCTGAACCTTACAAATTGAATCTAAACGGCCCAGATCTCATAAGGAGTGGTGATGAGCACCTTGACAAGCATTAAAGACTGTCCTTATCATCATCATCATCATCATCATTATTTTTCTTCGCTTTGGCTCCAATACTATGTAGCTAGATTTTTGACTCAAACTAATGTGATCGGCACGGGCACCTCTACGAGAATTTAATCGCGGTTATATTTTCACACTCGATCAACTCCCTTGCTAGTTAACCCAAGTGCCGAAAGACTGGGGCGGGTGTTGATCATTATTCATGAATACAATAATGAACTTCCTATGGATTTGATAATATACATTGATTTATTGAATTTATGCTCACGTGCAGGCAAGACAACCCTAGTGTGCCAATTATACCGTCATCATAAAAAGGTCCAGGAATTTGCAGCACATCGAGCTTGGGTGGACGTGACGCAAACTTTCGATACAAGAAACGTATTAAAGAAACTGATTCAACAACTCAAGTCTCAGAAGGATTTTGAGATGGGCAACATGGAGACACGGGATTTGATCGATGAAGTGAGAAACTTTCTGCAAGAAAACCGGTGCTTGATAGTGTTCGACGACGTCTGGGTCTCAAGATTTTGGGACGAAATTAAGCACATATTACCTTCCAGACAAAACGGAAGCAGAATAATAATCACGACCAGAATTAATGAAGTGGCAAGCCATTGCAAGGGTAATACACACAGTACCAAACCCTTTGTTCTGAAACGTCTTGAACGCCAACAGGCCAAGGAACTTTTCTTCAGATTTGCATTCCAAGGCGATGAATGCCCAGAAAACTTGCGAATCTTGTCTGATGAGATAATCCAAAAATGCAACGGATTGCCACTGGCCATCACCACAATTGGGAGTCTTCTTTCAAAAACAAACTTAGACAACGATGTTTCCAAGTGGCAAAATGTGCATAAAAGTCTAAGTCGGGTCTTAGCTAATGATGATACCGATGCTGGCAAAGCATTGAACATGGTTGTGTCTGAGAGCTATTATGATCTTCCTTATCATCTCAAACTTTGCTTTCTCTACCTGGGTGTACTCCCTGAAGACTATCCTATCAACTGCAACAGACTCATTCGTTTATGGATAGCAGAAGGGTTCGTCAAAGAAAAACCAGCAGAGAAATTGGAAGAAATCGGAAGGAAATACCTCCAAGAGCTGATAAACAGAAACTTGATTCAGGTAATTATTTTTTTTTAATCACTGTGAATTAATACACAGTACAGGTCATTGTATTCTTGTTTTAATTTTCATGATTTATAATTCCAAGTGTATGTATGATTTAGATATGGTTGTCGATCGTGTTTTTCTCAGGCTACAGTGGTTGATTGTGACGGTAAAGTTAGAAGTTGCAGAGTTCATGATATGATGCGCGGCTTCATTTTAAAGAAGTTTGAAGAGCTGAATTTCTGTCAAGTTTTGGACGATACTGGCTCGGACTTCAACTCTTTATACTCACCACGACGATTATCAATTCATAAGAATTTCAATGAAAATGAGCTTCAAGGGATTGTTTCAGATCCAGGCAAGGTGAGATCTTGTATTTTGTTCAACACTAAAGGGATTTCAACTTCTTTCATCACCAAGTTCAATCTTATGAGAACACTAGACTTCGATGATGCTCCACTTGATGCTCTTCCTGAAGAAATCGGAGACTTACTGCTCTTGGAATATTTGAGTTTACGAAACACAAAAGTCAAGAAGCTTCCTGCATCAATTGGCAAGCTTCAGAATCTTCTCACTTTAGACATCAAGAACTCTCACGTTCAGAGTCTTCCGCGGGAAATCAACAAGCTTACCAAGCTTCGTCAGCTTCTAGGTTATTCCTTCCACGGTGGTGAAATTGATCTGGGCATGGCAGCTTTTTCTTACCAGGGATTGCAGATCATGAAAGAAGGATTTGGGAAATTCAAGGATCTACAAGAGCTGTACTCTATCGATTGCTACCACATTAATAATGCTTTCATAATTAAAGAATTGAGAAAATTGAAGCAACTCAAGAAGCTAGGTATCACAAGGCTAAGACGTCAAAATGGAAGAGATTTATGCAGTACCATAGAGTCTTTAACCTGCCTTACCTCATTGTGGATAGGAGCCGTGGAGGAGGGTGACTTTCTAGAGCTAGACTCGTTAATCAACCCCCCAAGGCACCTTGAGCGACTTTACTTGGAGGGTCGTTTACGGAGCTTGCCAAAATGGATTCCCAGGCTCAAAAAGCTAGTGAAGCTATGCTTGTACGGCTCAGGAATAACAGATGATCCTATATTGGCTCTTAAAAACTTGAACGAGCTTTTGGAATTACGACTTCGCAAGGCTTACCAAGGTGAAGAACTGCATTTCCAAAAAGGGTGGCTGAAAAAGCTCAAGGTTTTACGCCTTAGGAAGCTTGAGCACTTGAAAACATTGAAAATACATGATAAGGCACTGCCACAACTTGTGCAGTTATACATTGGGCCTTGCCCTCAGATGGCTGAGGTGCCCGATGACATTCAAAATGTCAAACACGTACGCAGACTGGAAACTTTACTTAAGAGCCAGCGCGTCAACAGATATATCAACAACTCTCTTCACTATGCTAATATCATGCGGAACAGACATGGTAATAATAAGTCGTTTAGCATGCACGCACGCAACAATTTTCCACTGGTTATATTCATCATTGATGCATGATATGAACTATAGTGTGAATTTTCTTGCTATTAGGATGCTGCTTATTCAGTATATATCGTTCAAGGAGATATTCTTGAGCACAATTAATTTACGGGAGATTAATAGAATAGGCTAATCATAATATGCATGAATATTGAGTGATGAGCATATATTGGTGAAGTAAAAAACTTTTAGATAGACATGTAGTTCCTTAAATAAGAAGACACGTACGCATGCTTGTTGGACACAGTTTTATATATATTGTTGATCCCTATTTACTAATCTTGGTGTTAACAGATAAAAGCAGTATGTAGTAATATGAAGAGAGAAAGCAGTGTGCTTGGCCTTGGCTTTTCAAATAACTTTGTGTAATTTTGCTCATGTTTTGAAGGTGATCGTGATTATTCTGAGATGGCGCAGAGTAATTTAATTTCTTCTCGTCCCAAAGCCGAGCTACCACATCCAAATGGCGAGACAGCAGATTGGAGGGTTTGGGTACCTCTAGCATCTCTGATGTCTGTTTTCGTTGTCATGCTAGCGTTAGCGTCCAGATATCTGGAGCAGCTGCCTTTTTGGATTCTCTGATGAAGGTCTCGTCACTGTTCTGAAGTCGTTACTCATTTAGTTCGTTTGGGTTGACGCTCATGTTGTCCCTTTCCCTGTTGTGTGGGTCTATATATGTATCATGATTCCTTGTGTGGTTTGATTTCTATTTTCCAGCAGAACAAGCATTGCAGCTGAGAAGCAAGAAACTTAAGGTGTCTTTGAGGTTTGTTGAAGCAATATCTTCCCCAGCTTGATTCACTGGTCAAACCAGTACTCATGGTCACTGTTCTAAAGTTGTTAATCATATTTTCTCTAGTTTGTTTGGGGTGTGACTCAAATGTTGATCTCTATTATTGTACAAGTCTATATATGTATCATTATTCCGTGTGGTGTGATTCCCATAGTAGAATAAGCATTGCTGAGAAGCATGCACTTCACAAGAGTTTGTGGATGTTGTATAATTATAGTGGCACTATTGGCGATACTTTGAGATTAAATATTTTTTATATATTTGGACGGTCTACATTGATGCTCATCCCTTCCGAAACTGGATCCTTTTATCTATGTTGTTCTTGGCAAATGATGTGTTAATAAAATTAATGTAGATAAATGAAAAATCACAATATTAATAAATTATAAACAATTGGAGTGATGACTTCAAACTTTGTACAAAAACATATGAGATTCACAATCTAGCAAATAAAATAAACAGGAATATTTTTATCACCATTAAAGTCGTTTATTTTTATCTTTCTAATTTCAAAACAAGAATATAATAAAATAAAAAGGAAGGAAAAGAAAGTGATTCCTATTATTATTAGATGGAGACGGAGCAACTTATTGAAGAGATTTAACATTTTTTATCCAACACCACATCAATGAGAAGAATATGCCTCACACGCCATATTTATATTGGAAAAAAAAAAGGAAAAAATGAAACGAATGGATAAAAGAAAGTCAATGATACAGACCACAAATATTCTTACATTGAGGCACCTGCATCAATGGTTGTTGGGGACTTGGGGCAATATTTTTCTTACCCTGCCTCAACTCTCATATAGCAAGTTATTGCCTATAAACAAGATGATCTAAAAGATACATAAACAGGGGAAAAAAAATACATGCTTAATCAAAACCATATATGTATCAATCTGTCATATAAAATCTATTAAAAAAAAGGACGATATTTATGACTGATATGTTGCCGCATTATGTACATGTAAAATCTGATAGATGGATTGTTGGCTAAAAAAAAAAAAAAAACTGATAGATGGATAGCGGAACTTTTGGGTTGTTTTGCTTCTAATATTTCGTTTGTTTCTTTTCAATTACATACGAAAGCAAGCTTTCGTCACTTGGATTACTTTTACTTCTAAATTTAGTTTAGTTCATATTACATATATTACCTTTCATTTGATTAAACAATCAGTACTTTAATGGCTAATCCATAATAATATTAAGTAATCATGCAAGTGGATGTTGTATAATGAATCGCGAGGCTGCCCAATCAAATAAAATCCAAGTTTGGGTCAAATCAAGATAAAACATAGGATACCTATGTCAGATATCCATTAATGTGAGGTCACGAGTTGATTTCGTTAATTATTTAGGTGATGTAATCATGTAACAATTTTTATGCACATGGTGATAGAGAAAGAAATTAACCCGAAGAATGGTGTACTAAGTTGAAATTATAGTTTACTCCAATTTTTTTTTTTGGGTAAAAAAATGTTTACCCGGAATTTAACAACGCGCTTTTGTATAAAGAGTGTCAATGATTGAACAAAGAGAAGGAGAGCATCAACAAATTGAAAGAAAGATAAAACATTTTTTTTGTTTACACATCATTTCAGCAAATTTTGAAATTGAAAAGTAAATACAATTAGGGGCCAACCCAACTCAAATACAACTAAGACTGTATGACTAGATAATTTGTTAAAAAAGAAAAGAAAAAGAGAGAAATATACAGCTCAAAATACAAACGTTTTAACGTGGAAGAGAGTGAATCAATAAGAGTGATATATCATTTATGTTTCAAAATCTGTTAAAAATTGAACTGACGTTGTTGTGCTTTTCTTAGAGAAGGATAATTTGATCCCAAATATTAAATTAATGATAATTAGATTCTCAATTTTGAACAACTTGTTTTATAGATAACATAGAGCAATATTAGATTTTTGATTATATATATTATTTTATATAATTATAGTTTGAGTGGTTATAACTATTTTATTTTCTATTATTCTTTTATTATTTGATAGATCTTTACTTTATTCTCTAATAGATCTTGATAGATCTTTTTCCTTTATATAACTATATCTCATATTGAAATTAATAAGATAAGTCATTATTTTCACAAATTGTATTATGATACTAGAGGAGCCATTATGTGAAATTTCTTTTTCATTGTTTTCCCTCTCTACTTCATTGTTTTCTCTCTTTGCTTTATTTGGTGCTTCTAGAATCTCACGGCACCCGAACCCATTGTTCTGCCTTCTACCATTATGATTACTTTGGATGCTTTTGTACCTACTAATAGAAATGCTTAGTCTTAATCTTCTTTTACCCCTTTGCCGTTCACTCGGGATCAATACAATAAGCTTCTTGCTTTTGTGCAAACCCTTGCACTTGCTACTTATCAACTCCTTCGGTATAAGTTAAACTTGTGACTGTCTCTCCTTCCACTCCTTCTTTCAATGTGTCTTTAACACTAGGTATATCTCACATACTTTCCTTTAAATGCCTTTCACTTGCTTGGATCATTGATAGTGGCACAACCAATCATATATGTTCTTCTATTGATCGTTTCTCCGAGTTCGTTTCTATTTCTCTTGTTTTTGTTTAGTCACCTGATGATTCTATTGTTCAAGCTCATCATTCTGGAACCATTTATCTTTTCTCTAATTTTTATCTTACTAATGTTTTGTTGATTTCTCAGATTGACTATCATTTAATTTTTGTTTCTAAACTTAGTTTTCACCTTTACTATTTCTTAATCCTAAATGCCATTCATTGTTTCATTTAAGCCTTGGACTCTTGGAAGACGATTGGTATAGTTGAGGTTCAAAATGGTCTCAATGTTCTTCAAGATCATGCAAGTAGGTTCTCACCTTCTTCAGTTTCTCCTATTACATACTTTACATTCTAAATTTATACCTCCTTCTGATTTGTGGCATCTTAGGTTAGGACATGCCTCTTCTACTGCTATTAGTATTCTAGGTCAAAAATAATCTTCAATCACTTATAAACCTACCTTAAATAAAAGTTGTGATGTTTGTCATTTTGCCAAATAAAGAAAATTACCTTTTCTTGTTAGTATTTCTCATACTACTCATCCTCTTGAACTTTTACATGTTGGTATCTGGGGTCCATTTAATATCACTTTTGTTCATGGCCATCATTATTTTTTAACTGTTGTCAATGATTTCTCTTGCTTTACTTAGGTCATTTTGATAAAATTAAAATCTAAAACTAGAACTCAATCAAACTGCCTTATTTTGTTTCTGAAAAATCAATTTTCTTTTGTTGTAAAAATCATTCACTCAGGCAATGGTTTTGAATTCCTCATGCATTCTTTCTTTGATTCAAAAGGCATTTTCTTCCAAAAACTTATGTTGAAATACTTGAACAAAATAGTGTTGTAGAACATAAACACAAGCATATTCTTGATGTTGCTCGAGCTTTGTTATTTCAAAATCATTTACTTTTAGCTTATTGGTCTTATTCTATTTTACATATTGTTTACATCACTAATCATCTTCTCACCCCTATTTTGCAATAGCAACCACCTTATAAACTTCTTCATAACGCGTTCTCTGATTTTTCTAATATTCACGTCTTTGGTTCTCTTTGTTTTGCTTCCACTTCTGTTTCTTATCGCACTAAATTTGATCATCGAGCTAGGAAATGTGTTTTTCTTAGTTTTTATCTTGGCACTAGAGGTTTTATATGTCTTGATTTGCATTCTCGTGATATTTTTATTAGTTAGCATGTCATTTTCTATGAAGTCAAATTTCCTTTTTCTTTATCTTCCACTTCTTCTTCTACTAACTTTCCTTTGCCACAATCTACATCTCTCGATTATTCTGATCCTTTTATCATTCAATCCTTTTCTACTTCTGCTGTTTCTATTACTCTAAGTTCTTCAGCTCTCGTTTCTCTTACCTCTTCAGATCATTCTTTTATTGATTCTTCTTTATTGCCTTTATGTTGCTCTTCTTGGTCCCATAACCCTCCTTCCTACTTGCATGATTATCATTGTTCACTCCTTGCCTTAGCACCATTTTCTTCCTTTAATCTAGATGTTCGTTATCCCTTATCTTCTGTCCTCTCTTATAATCGTCTTTCTCCTTCCTACAAACACTTTGTTCTCTTTGTTTCTGAATGGAAGAAAGCTATACAGGTTAAAATTTCTGCTCTTGAGCAAAATAATACATGGATCTTAACTGAACTCTTTGCAGGAAAACATCCCATTAATTATAAATGGGTGTTTAAAAAGAAGTTTAAGGCTAATGGTTCTCTTGACAGGTATAAAGTTCGTTTAGTCGTTAAAGGTTATACACGAACTGAGGGGATTGACTACTTTGATACTTTTTCACTTGTAGCTAAACTAACCATAGTTAGTTTAATTTTGGCATTGGCAATTGCCAACTCTTGGATTTTGGAGCAATTAGATATCAATAATATCTTCCTTCATGGTGATTTGGATGAAGAGATTTAGATGGCTCTTCCTTATAGTTTTATTTCTTTATCACCCAATATTGTTTGTATACTTTAGAAGTCTCTTTATGGTTTGAAACAGGCTAGCCGCCAATGGTTTGTTAAGCTTACAACTACTCTTACTTCATATGATTATCTCCAGTCTAAAACTGATTATTCTTTATTTGTCAAGAAGATTGATTCTTCATTCATAGTGTTATTAGTTTATGTTGATGACATTATCTTGGTTGGCTAATGATTTTGTTGAAAATATTAAAAGTTTTCTTGATCAATATTTTAGAATCAAGGATTTGGGTTTGCTTCACTATTTTCTTGGTTTG